GACTCGGCCTCTGCAGGGGTGATGGCATATTCTGTAGTTTGAAGGGGTGTGGTGTGCATTGAGAAGGATGAGGACTGATCATTGCTACCGACAGCTGGTCCCTCCAGCTATCTGCTCAGGGAATTGTTATTTGCGGTTCAATCACAGGGAAGATGAGACAGGTGGCCCAGGAGTCAAGCCCTAGATGGGCTGCAGGTGCTCTTTGTGAAGAGGGAATTTCAGAAGGGAGCCTGGGCCAAGTGCAGGCTTTGGTGTCACACAGCTGGGTTCACAGCCCACTTCACTCCTTACGGGCTGTGTGGCCTGCACAAGTCGCTTAACCTCTCTGAGCCTCCATTTCCTCATCTGTATATAGGAGATTATATTTCCATGCAGGGATCAAATGGGACAGTGGCCTGGTACTAGTGGCCTAGGGCTTAATGAACAGTGTTATTATAATCATTTCTCCATGTGGACTTTCTAGACAGACAATCCTGCTAGCTCCCATCAAGCTCCTTGGAAAAGGCCCATCTGCCTGCAGGTATTAAGTGGACTGAAGTTGGAGATGGGTTTGGAGTCTTGCTGTTCTGGTCTCAAGGGCATGTGGATGACCTCCTGCACCAGCTCTCCAGGATCAGACACTGCTCCAGCATTCAGACAGAGAACACGCCTTTCCCACCTTTCAAGTCATTTGATTGTCATACAAACCAGGGACACAGTGAATGTGCAGGGTTTGGTGAGATGGTGCTGTCTTCTAGAGGAGTTGTACTGTCTTCTAGAGGAGTTAAGCAATCTTCCCAAGGTTACAGAGTTCAGAAGTAAAGGCACGAATGAATCTATGCTGTGGGTGTCCTCATGCCCTCGCCGTAGTGGAAGATCATGCTGTCCATGGATGCTAAGCCCAGCCCCTCACATTCCAGAGCTGGAAGGGCCCATGGTTAGTCAGCCCAATTGTGCCCCTGACTTGATAGCTGGGGAACTGAAGCCCAGAGAGGACATGCAGCTATGCAGAGGCTCTGGCTGCCAGCTCAGTGCTCTTCCCACTGTGCCTCTGTGCCAGAGGTAGTGTCTTCATGTGTCACATGGCAGGGTGACATAGGGTTGTGGTTGAGGACATTATCCTATGGTCAGCCTGTATGAGTGCCAATCCCAGATATATCATGCTGTATACCTGGGTGACACAACCTCTCTGTGGCTCAGTTTCCTGGATTGTAAAAGGGGCAGAATATAATAATACATCATGTGCTGTATAAGCACGTTTTAGTTACAGATGCACTACGTATAGGAAGGTGGTCCTATAAGGTTATAAGGTAATTGTACTGTACCTTTCTATGTTTAACTACATCTAGATACACAAATACCACTGTGTTATAATTGCCCTCAGTGTTCAGTACAGTATTATGTTGTACAGCAGAAGCAGAGGAGATATGAATGAGGAGCATTTGATGGCAACTTTCTGTGTCTGGAAGTTAAACTGATTCTTTTTCCAATAGTGGTTAGGAGCTTGCTTTTTGTATAAATATATCTAAGGGAATAGGAGTCATTTGAAACAGAAACATTACATCACATATTGGTGCAGGTGATCGCAGTACTGGCAGGCATCCTTCCAATTCTGTTATGGGGACAGGGACTGTCTTGCTCATGGCTTTGTATTTCTGGTGTGAATCCCTATTTTGTGGGAAGAGTGTAGGACCCTGTCAGGGCCACAGGACAGTGCTCATGTGAGTGATGAGTCAGACAGAGGACACCAGGGAGGGACACCAGGCCTGGCTTTTTTTTTTTTTTTTTTTTTGCCTGGAGTAAAAATGTCATCTGTGCTATCGTCTGAGTCTGTTTGGGAGGCTATAACCAGATAACATAGATTGGGTAATTTGTAATACCAGAAGCTTGTTTCTGTCATTTCTGGAGGATGAGGTATAAGGCCAAGTCACCAGCATATTTGGAGTCTTGTGAGGGTCTTATTCTTCTTCTTGGGCCCTCACATGGTGGCAGGGGTTAAAGAAGACGCTTCTTCGGGCGTCTTTTATTAAGGCTCTAGTCCCACTCATGAGCGCGTTGTCCTCTCAGTGTAGTCACCTCTAAAATGCAGCACCTCTTAAAAGCAACACACTAGGAATCAGAATTCAACACATGAATTTTGGAAGGGTACACGCATTCCGGCCCTAGCAGCCATGATTGACACTAATGAAATCGTAGCTAATGTTGTAGAGCACTCACGATGTACAAGGTAGCATTCTAAGTTCTCTACATACACTAAATCATTTACTTTTATGAAACTATCCCTATTACACTCATGTATCACTTAATAATGGGAATACATTCTGATAAACCCATCTTTAAGGAATTTCATCTTTGTGCAGACATCACAGAGTGTTGATTAGGTAGGATGATGACCTACTACGCACATAGACTACACATAGATTATATGGTGTGGCCTATTGCTCCTAGGGTTCAAAGCTCTACAGCATGTTACTGAATATTATATGCAATTGTAACACAATGGTAAATATTTGTGCATCTAAACATAGCTCAACATTAAAAAGTCCAGTAAAATGTCCTTATTATAACCTTATGGGACCATCATTATATACACTGTCTAGAGTTGGCCAATATGGTATTTTTTGGCACATGAGTACATTCTACCCCTTTACACTGCAGGAAACTGAAACACAGAGAGGTTATGTCACTGACATATAAGTGACGCTGCTGGGTTTTGCATACATGCAGGTTGACCGCAGCAACATGCCCTCAATCACAACTCTCTGTCACCTGTTCATGAGAACCATGAGGACTCTGAACCTGCCACAGAGGCAGATTGGGAAGAGCACTGAGTTGGCAGTCAGAGCCTGTGCATAGCTCTGGGTCTTCTCTGGAATTCAGCTGCCCAGCTGCCTTCAAGGGCACAGCAGGGCTAACTGGCCACGGGCCCTTCCAGCTCTGGACTGTGAGGGGCCGGGCTTAGCATCCGCTGACATCATGATCTGCTGCTATGTTGAGCACATGAGGACAGCCATAGCATAGATTCATTCGTCCCTTTACTTCTGAGCTGTGTGACCTTGGGCAGATTGCTTAACTCCTCTAGAAGACAGTACAATCTCGCCAGACCCTGTACATTCAAAATGTCTCTGGTTTGTGTGAAGATCAATGACTCAAAGTGTGGGAAAGGCTTGTTCTCTGTCCAAATGCTGCAGCAGTGTATCATCCTGGAGAATTTTGTGCAGGAGGTCATCCGTATGCCCTTGAGACCAGATCAACAAGAGACCCATCTTCAACTTGCAGTCCACATCATACCTCCAGGCAGATTAGTGTTACCCAAGGAGCCTGATGGGATCTAACATGATTCTCTCTCCAGGAAGCACACTTGGACAAATGATTATAACAGCACTGTTTATTAAGGCCAAGCCAGGTGCCAGGGTACTGTCACACTTAATCTCTACATAAATTTATAATCTGCTTTCTACAAGTCAGGAAATGGAGGCATAGAGAGGTTAAGGGGCTTGTGCCGGCTCCACAGCCAGGAAGGTGTGAAGTGGGCTGTGAATCTGGTTATGTGACACCGAGACTTGCACATGACCCAGGCTGCCTTCTGAATTGCCCTCTTCACAAAGGGCACCTGCTGGCAAGCATGGTCCTGCCTCCTGGGGCACTTGACTCATCTTCCTCTGTGATTGAACAGCAATAGCAATTCCCTGAAGCAGTAGCCAGAGGAACCTACTGTTGGCCTAACTACCAGTCACCAGGGTGATGCCTCACTCCTTCTTGATGAACAGCAACACACCTTTCAACTGCAGAATATGCCGTGACCCCTGCATTGGCACACGACATCCTTCATCTGGACCCAGTCCTTCTCATGACTCTGCATTGCCACGATGATGCTTTCCTCCACATCCCCAGTCACTTTGCTCCCCTGAGTTAATCAAGGTTGGAATTTAAAGAACTAAAGTAGCTTAATCTTGGGAGAAACTGCCAAAGATTCAGACACAAGTCACTACAGGGAGCACTCAGGGGTCAGCGAGTGTCCTGTTGGGTGACACTGTCCAGTCAGGACTGATGGTTCCTTGTGAGGATGTCATGACCACTGCTGCTCAAAGTGTGTAATCTACACACTAGGGCCTGTGTGCTATTTACAGTCTGTAGTGCACAGCATCCATTAACATATATGTAGATTATAAAGTCGTAATTTTCCTGGTATTTCTTTTTATATTGATTGAACTTTTTCCTGTTGAGCCTAAAAATGGATTTTGTAATTTTTTTATGAGGTCTCCTTCTGTCACCCAGACTGTGGTGCAATGGTGAAAACATGGCTCACTGCAGCCTTCAATTCCTGAGCTAGATGGATTCTCCTGCCTCAGCCTCCGAGTAGCTAGGATTACAGACTTGCACCACCAAACTTTGCAAAGTGTTTGTTTATTTATTTAGAGACAGGAGTCTCCCTATGTTGCCAAGGCTAGTCTCAAACTCCTGGTGTCAAGTGGTCCTCCCATTTGCCTCTCAAAATATGGGGAATATAGGTGTGAGTCATGCTGCTCAGCCAGATTTTGTATATTGAATTTAGTTTCATGATTTCCATTATTAGTATTATTTCATTTACCAAGGTTTAGGTGTGGAATGGATAGGAATGAAAAACCCCTCCTTCATCCTGGAGTTTGAGAAGCCTCGTGTAGAAGTAAATAACTAAAGAGTTTGATTCCATCCCCTGTAGTTACTTTTGAACCTGAAATCCAAAGAGGAATTGAAGTTGGACAGAGAAATCAGAGAAGAAACAGGAGGCATTCAGAATTTTCTGTGCAGCATTTGAGAATGAAGGTGGTCCTGTATCCCAGATACCCACCAATGACCTGACGATGTGCTATTCCTTTCTGCAAAAGAGGAAGCACAGTGAGGCAGCTTGGCTTGCCTTAAGGCACTTGGATTGTTAGGGGCTCACATTTCCATCTAGAGCCCAGGAGTCTGCATTCCCAGTTCAATCCCTGATCCCAGTCTCTGATTTCCAAAACACACAATGGAAACTGAAGGCAGAATCATGTCTAAAGTGTTTAATTATCACTCACATATTTCATAGGAAAAGGAATGTAGCAAACCGGTCAAGGTGGTATAAAAAAAAAATCTAGGTTTGTACATGTCTGGCTATTAACATCTGGGAGAAAGGCTGTCCTGGCATCAGTCGCAGCAGCTGCATGTCTCTGACGCCCCTTTGCAGACATAGCCCTGGGCACACTTGGCACAGCCCACGCGGTAGCGGGAGCAGCAGCCTGGGGAAGAAGAGGAGCGTGAGAGGTCACAACTGACTCGCCCAGGGACCTCCCTGCCCAACAGAGCCTCCAGCTCCAAAGGACCCTTAGTTCAGGATGGCATGGCTTTGTCAGGAGACAGCTAGGGAATACTTGGGGTAGGTCTTCCTATGAGAAAGCTGTCCAGCCCCAAAGGCGCCCTGGACAGGGCAGAAGACTGGAAAGGCAGTGACAAGGTATGGGCAGAAAGGAAGGAAAGTTCCCCAAAAGCATGCCTCCAGGGCCAGCCTTGGGTTCCCTCCCAACCTTAGCCCCAGACAATGGAGATGGCCCCGCACTCACTCTTCTTGCAGGAGGTGCATTTACACTCTTTGCACGTGCAGGAGCCGGCGCAGGAGCAGGAGTCACCTGTGAGAAAGAGAAAAAGCCAGTGAGCCGTGAGTGAGATGCAGAAGATACAGCAGTGAGTTAATGAGTGTCCATTGCCCAAGACACAGAACCCGGGAGCCCCTTACCAGCCGCGCAGGAGCAGTTGGGGTCCATTGCAACCCGAGGAGAGGCTGGAGTTCCCAAGCCAGAAGGGAAGAGGCAGTGGTGCACGTTGAAGGCGTGGTGGAGCCCAACAGCCAGCGGCTGCTTTTATAGTCAGCGGAGGGGGCCGGGCGCAGACACCTCGCCCCGCCCTTGCACCCGCCCTGCCCAGTCTGCCCCGCCGGCCGTCCTGGGCTGGGCTGTGCGCAATAGATGGGCCAGGTGCAATGTCCCTTGAGCTCAGCGGGGTGCACACCGTGGGACGGCCCCTTTCGCACCGGCTCGCGAGGGAGGCGCTGTGCGGCTTCTCTCACCCTGCCGGGCCTTCCCAACTTCCCTGAGGTTGCCTGCTACACCCGCCCCTTGGCTTTCTGCCTACCCCAGTATTCTGTCTTTTCCCCCACTTTCACCAATGCCCAGGTCTCTAGTCAATAGCTAAGCCTTTCCTGGAGTCGAGGGTAACCCCAGTCTTGTGCTCCACTTTCTGGATCTGCCAAAGCAAGGAACATAGCAAGGCAGCAGTGTGCAAAGGGCAGGCCAAGGGTGCAAACTTCACATCTCTGGCCTTATCCGCCCTGTCCCCGGTTCCTACCTCAGTCCTTTGGTCACGTTTCTCCTGTGCACAGCAACACGGAAGACACAGGGCTCTGCCTCTCTCTCTTCCATTCTCCACTCTTGAGGGCCTGAGTGGGCACCTTTGTCCAGGTCCTCCTTTGCATAAATCTCTCCAGGGTCTCCCCACAGCTTAGCCGGGTACCCTAATACAGGATGGCAGTTTTGAAAGTGTGGGATGTCCCTAGAAGAGGGATCATTGAAGGTGATATGAAGATCCTGCATTAAATTAGAAAGCAAGAGAGTTGCTTATTTTTCCTTCCATGTTTCTATTCCTCTACGGTTACACGGGTCTGGGTTTGGTCCTGTTTAGTCACTTTCTTTGAACCCTCACAACAACCATAAAGGGACATGTGTTCTATTTATGAACCCGTATTCCTAATCTGGACAATGACAATACCAGCAGTTCAAGCCACTAGCCCAGGGTCAGGGGGCTGGGAAGTGGCACTGCTGGGTGTGAATCCTGTCAGCTTCTCAAGGGAGAGAGGTCAGTGATGAAGCTTCCCTATGGCTTAGGTATGTTCATCTCTTCACTGCTTGAAATCTTTAAACAAAGCCAAGCATCAAGGTCAGTCCTAGAAGCAAAACAGAGACATAGAGGGATATGAATAAGCATACTTTGACGGGAGGGAGACAGGGCCCTGTGTCGTCCGTGTTTCTGTGCACAGCAGAAACGTGGTGGAAGAACTGAGGTGGGGACAGGAACAGGGACACGCAATGCCAGAGATCCGAACGTCGCATCCTCCGCCTGTCCCTTGCACACTACTCCCTTGCTATGCTCCCTGCTCCCGCCAATCCAGACAGTCGAACAAGAGACTGGGGTTGCACTGGGACTCCAGGAAAGGCTTAGCTGTAGACAAGGGGGTGGGCAGGCCCCGGGGTGTGGGGCGCAGGTCAGCATTTCCGGGCACGCGGAACGCCAAGGAGTGGGAGTAGCAGGTAATCTTGGGGAACTGGGAAGGCCCGGCAGGGTGAGAGAAGCAGCTCACCCGGGTGCACAGCGCCTCCCGCGCTAGCCGGTGGGAAAGGGGCGGCCAGGCGGTGTGCACCGACCTGCGTTCACCGTGCTTTGCGCCCGGCCCGTCTGCTGCGCACAGGCCAGCCCAGGACCGCGGACGGCTGGGACTCAGGAGGGCGAGTGCAAGGGCGGGGCGGGGTTTCTGCTCCCGGCCAGCTCCCCGACTATAAGAGCAGCCGCTGGCTGTGGAGCTGCACCACGCACTCCAGGTGCTCCACCGCCTCTTGGCTTCTCGCTTGGGAACTCCAGAGTCTCGCCTCGGCTTGCAATGGACCCCAACTGCTCCTGCGCCGCTGGTAAGGGGCGCCCGGGTCTGTGCCTTGGGATGCCAAATTCCCAGACACCATGGAGAGTGTCCCTGGGTTTGAGGAGGTTGCGTTTTGCGATCTGAGGTGAGGGGACTCCTTTACTTCTTCCAGTGCTTTCCTCTTGGTCGAGCTCCTGACAGCATTGGCCTCCTCCCTGTGCCTCTGTGTCAGAGGTGAGGGTCCTGAGGCTCAAGGCTGTCCTGCTCCACATCATCCCGTTGGTCACGAGGCTGCTGGCTGAGCCTCAATTATCTAACCAGGCTCTGAGCATCTGGATTGGATGGGAGGCAAGGGCCATTGCCTCTTCGGGGTTCAGGACAGAATGTGGAAGTCGCAGTCTTCCCGGGCTGTGCCTGGAGACTGGGACTTACCTTTGGAATACAAATGGAGGGGGCTCGGTTTTCCCAACATGAAAGGAGAGGAGATGGGGCTTCTCTTCCTCTGCTGAGTGGGAAAGGAGCTCTGAGGGCTGGCCCTGCACAGAGGAGGGGGAACTGGACACTCATAGACCCACTGCTGTATCTTCTGCATCTCATTCACCACTCGCTGGCTTTTTCCGCTTCCTTGCAGGTGGCTCCTGCACCTGCGCCGGCTCCTGCAAGTGCAAAGAGTGCAAATGCACCTCCTGCAAGAAGAGTGAGTGCGGGGCCATCTCCAGGAATCTGGGGCTGTGGCTAAGGTTGGGAGGGAACCCAAGGCTGACACTGAGTGCTGGCCTCGGGGGAACTGGCCTTCCTTTGCCCCAGTTGGCTGTGTCATTCCCTCTCCAGGCTTTCTGCCCTGAGTTCAGATGGAGCAGGACAGCATTTTTCTCTTGGGACACAAACCCCAACTGTACCATCTATGATTTCAGAACAGAGCTGTGGCACACAAAAAAAGCATCCTCTGGGTCTGGCGTCTGAGCTCGAGCCAGGCTTGCTATTGGGGCAGGGAGGTGCCTGGTCCAGTCTACTGCCACCTCTCACTCTCCTCTTCTTCCCCAGGCTGCTGCTCCTGCTGCCCCGTGGGCTGTGCCAAGTGTGCCCAGGGCTGCGTCTGCAAAGGGGCGTCGGAGAAGTGCAGCTGCTGTGCCTGATGTGGGAAGAGCTCTGCTCCCAGGTGTAAATAGAGCAACCTGCACAACCTGGAGGTTTTTTTACATACAACCCCTAGCCATTTGCTACATGTCCTATTATATTAAATATGTGAATGACAATAAAACAATTTTGACTTGAATCTTACTGTGGTCTTCTTTGTGTGTCTTGGAAAAAAATGGACTTGGGTGGGGGTTAAACCACGAGTTTAGATAGCAGGTTCTGGATGGAAATGTGAGCCACTAATAATGTGAACACTTTTAGGCCAGCCAGGTTACCTCATTGAGTTTACACTTCTGTAAAATGGGATTGCACTGTGCACACCATATGGGTGGGGACCATACATGATCGCTTCCAGTCTCATGCCAAATGTAGCACAGAAACTGCATCCCTCATTTTTATTTTCTGATTTTCCTGCCCAGCCTCAGATCCACATTGGATTTGAGGCTTAAAAGTGGCTACAGTGCTGGTACTCAACTCCTCAGTTCCTTGAATCCTACAAGGGTGCTAGGCTTTTGATGTTTTGTCACTGCCAAATCTCATGTTGAAATGTGACTTCCAATATTGCAGGTGAGGCCAAGTGGGAGCTTTTGGGGTCATGAGGACAGATCCCTAAAGAATGGCTTGGTGCCATCCCATGGTGAAGAGTGAGTTCTTCCTCTGGTAGGTCACTCCAGAGCTGACTGTTTAAAAGAGCCAGACACCCTCCCCTTCTCTCTCTTGCTCCCTGTCTCTCCATGTGATGTACCTGCTCCCCCTTGGTCTTCTGCCAGGATTGCAGGCTTCCTGCGGCCCTCATCAGAGGCAGATGCCTGCACCACACTCTGCACAGCCTGCAGAAGCAGAAATCAAAACAAACTTCTTTTCTTTATAAATTACTTAGTCTCAGGGATTCCATTAGAGCAATGCAAACAGGCTAGCACAATGGGGCTTTTCAAACACTTTGGTGAAGGACAGTTTTTACTTCCTATCCATCACAGACTTAAACTTTGGTAAATGTAATAGTATCGATCATAGAGATAATGAGATAAAACACCACATACAAAACCCATTTTTTAGATCCAACAGGAAAGCAGTTCAATAAATCCATAAAGAAATAGGAAAATGAAAGATGTACAAACTTTGAACATATGATGATGTGCATTGTGGCCCAGAAACAACAAACCAGACCAGGCGTGGTGGCTCAGGCCTATAAACCCAGCACTTTGGGAGGCCAAGGTAGGTGGATAACTAGAGGCCAGCAGTTTAAGACCAGTCTGGCCAACATGATGAAACCTCATCTCTACTAAAAATACAAAAATTAATCGGGCATGATGGCATGCGTCTGTAATCCCAGCCACTTGGGAGGCTGAGGCATAAGAGTTGCTTGAACCCCGGAGGCAGAGGTTGTGGTGCACCACGATTGTGCCACTGCAGTCCAGCCTGGGCAACTGAGACTCTGTCCCAAAACAAGAAAAGAAAGGAAACAGCAAACTGGCCCCAGTGTGTGGCTCTCACACCTTGAGCGGCACTGCCCAGCACATCCCCACAAGGAACCATCCGGCTTGGCCTGCCCAGTGTCACTGACGGGACACTCGCTGACCCCTGAGAGCTCCCTGTTGTGACTGGGCTCTGAATCTTTGGAAATTCCTCCCAAACTCAGGCTGAATTTGCCCTTCTTTCAAATTTCAGCTCTTGACTCCTTCCGACCAGTAAAGTGACTGGGAATATGGAAGGACATGCCCGGCATGTCCCTGGCAAAATGAAGTGTGTGTGATCATGGGTTCCACATGAAATGCTTCACGCCTGCCCATGCAGGAATGACGGAGGATTCTGCAGTTTGGAGGGTGTGGTGGTGCTCAGTAGGAAGGAGTAAAGCCCTGGCTGACTTGTAATTAAAGCCAACAATCAGTTTCCCTGGCTATGTGGAGGAAACGCTATTTGATGTTCAGTCAAAGAGGAAGATGATCCTTCTGTCCTGGAGGTCAGGAGCACGCTTGCCCACTGCTACCCTGTGAAGAGGAGACTTCAGAAGGCGGCCTGCGCCTAGGGCACGGGTTTTGGTGTCAGGCAGTCCTGGTTCACAGCCCACCTCACCATGTACTGGCTGTGTGGCCTGAGTGCATCACTGAAACTCTCTGAGCCTCCAGTTCCTTATTTGTAGAAAGCAGATTATATCTCAATGCAGGGATTACATGACAGCATAATCTGGCCCAAGGCTAGGGTTTAATAAATAGTAGCAATGATGATCATTCTCTCTATACTGCCTTTTTTAGAGAATGAAGCCTGTTAAATCTCAAAGGTAAGAGAAATCTTATGGGTTTGAAAGCACTGCTGTGAATTGGATGCTGGGAATGGGACTGCAACCTGGCTGATCCTGCCAGCAGTGTGGACGACCTTCTGCGGAAAGTGCTTTTCAATAAGATGCTGCCCCAACATTTGACCAGACATAAAATCCATTCCCATCCTTCATATCATCTGATCACATGACTTCTGGAATGACAGCCACAGGCCTCAAGACTGGGACAGCAAATATGCAGGGCCTGGAGTGCTTATGTTGTCTTCCAGATTAGTTAAGTAACCTACCCAGCGTCACATAGCTCAGAAGTCAAGGGATGAATGAACGTATGCTACACCTGGTCTGTGGCCCTGGCCACAGCTGGTAGATTATGATGCCACTGGATGCTAAATCTTGCCTATCTTATTTCAAAGATACGAAGACTCTTTGGGATGAACGAATGTTACTCTTGGCTTGACAGATGAGAACTGAAACCCAGAGATGTCACAGAGCTGTGCAGGGGGACATTCCTGTCCACAGAGTGCACTTCCTATTGCTGCCTCTATGCTAGGTTTTCTGTGTCCTTATCGTTCATGTAACTTGGTGGCAGAGGGTGGTGGGTGAGTATATGATGCTGCCGTTAGCATGCATGAGTGCAAATCCCACCTCTGTTACTTTTAGCTGCATGACACAACCTGTCTATGGCTCAGTCTCTTCCACTGCACAAGGGGCATAATACTAACCTCTGTATTATGGAGGTATAAAGGAGACGCCTGTGAAGCCAAGGCTGGTATCCCAGAGCACGCGGGGAGGTGGGTGGAAGGCAACTTCAAGGAAACTGGGAAAGGCAGCCGCGACCTCAGGGACACGAGCACACAGCCCCTCCTGCGTGAACCGGCGCCAAAGGGGTCCCCTGGCCCTTCTGCGGCGCACAGCCCAGCCCAGGATTTAATGCCTACAAGCAACTTAGAATGGTGTGAGGGGTGTGGGGTCTATAATATTAGCTGTTGCTTTTTTTTTTTTTTTATCATTTTATGGCGCATAGGGGATATTTATTTATTTGCACACAAAGGCCTGGAGTGCTCAACTGTGTATCCTGTTATTCTCATCTGCCACAGGAGTATATGTCCTGTGGTCCAAAGAGAGCCATTCAGTGTTCCCATAACATTGTAATCAACATTAGGGTTATAAAGCTATGAGCAAGATTCTGTGCTTCATGTCAGATACAGAAGAATGACTGCCCTTTCCGTTACCACCTGCACCATTTTTTAGTTAATATTTTACACTGAAATGATTAATACTTTCATACACATACTTTATGAAAATCAAACTCTTTTCCATCAGAGAAAGTGAAAATCAATCTTGTCCCACACATGGAAGACAGCCCCAAATTAATGTGTGTGTGCGTGTGTGTGTATGTATTACACTTATGGATCGCTTTTGCCACTGTCCATCTTAGAGCTGGTAGCTTCCTGTTGTTTATTTGGAGGTTTTTTGTCTCTATTTTTTGAGACAGTTTCACCTTCTTCGCCCAGCTGCAGTGAAATGGCCCAAGCTGCAAACTCTGCCTCCCTGGTTCAAGTGATTTTCCTGCCTCAACCTCCTGAGCAGCGGGATTACAGGCAATTGCCACCAAGCCAGGATAATTTTTGTATTTTTAGTGGAAACAGGGTTTTGCCATGTTAGCCAGGCTGGTCTCCAACTTCTGACCTCAGGTGATCCATCAGCCTCGGCCTTCCTAAGTGTGGGATTACAGGTGTGAGCCACTGGGCCAGCCCCTGTTTTTTAAAAAATTTCCAGCAATAGAGAAGTGTTGATGACATACCTGGGCTAAAGGAAGGCTTGATCATGGACACTTTCCATTAAGAGGCTGGCTGGATTTAAATCAGTGCACAACTGTTTACTTCTGTGACGACCAGTTACTTGGACTCATTTCTTTGCAGTCCTGTGATTAGCAAAATGGGTTCATAATTAGTATTTCCCTTTAGAATTGCTGTGAGGATTCAAAGAATGAAAGTGATTAAAAAGGGACTGCTGCAGACTCAATGTCATGCAATAGTCAGGTATATTGAAGAGAAATAACTGGATGTCTTGCTTTTTATTTTTTTTAGAGACAGTGACTTGCTATGTGGACTAGGCAGGACTCGAACTCCTCGACTCAAGTGATCCTCCCGCCTCAGCCTTCTAAGTAGGTGGGACTACAGCTTTCCACCACCTTCCCCACCTTGCTTTTTAATTTAAAGCAGGGTCTGCATGTCATCTGAAGTCATCTCTCTTTGGGGACATCCCACATGTCCAGAACTGCCAGCCGGCAGTCGGGGTGGCCCATTAGGCTGTGGGGAGCATGGAGACCTATCTGCAAAGGAGGACCTGGACAAATGTGCCCACACATCCTCTCAGGCGAGGAGAATGGACGGGAGAGAGAGGCCGACCCGTGTTCCCGGTGTTGCTGTGTACGGAGGAGCGGGTCAGAGGAACCGCGGTGTGGACAGGGACAGGCAAGGCGCGGGGACGAGGAGAAACGAAAGCCACATCGGTGGCGGGTGCTCTGCACACAACTCGCTCGCTACGGCCCGCTCCCCGCTCCGCACTCAGCCGATCCGGGGACGGGAGCAGGAGGGCTGCACCCGGACTCCGGGACAGGCCCAGCTGAAAACGGCGGGGCGAGGGGTGGGGTGGAGACGCTCCCGTCGCCAAGGCTGGCGTCCCGGAACCTGCGGGGAGGAGGGTGGAAGGCAACTTCGAGGAAACTGGGAGAGGCGGCCAGGACCTCGGGGACAGGGCGTACCGCCGGGCGCACAGCCCCTCTGCGCGAACCGGCTCCAAAGGGGCGGTTCCGCGGCGCTTCCCCAGCGGAGCTCAGAAGATGGTGCCCCCGGCCCTTCTGCTGCGCACAGCCCAGTCTAGTACCGCAGGCGGCGCGAACCCAGCAGGGCGGGTGCAAGCGCCAGGCAGGGCCTCTGCGCCCGGCCCCCTTCCCTGAATATAAAAGCAGCCCCAGGCCGTGGCGCTCCACCACGCCGTCCACGTGCGCCTTGCTGTCTCTCGATTTCTCGCTAAGATCTCCAGCCTCACCGCGGCTCGAAATGGACCCCAACTGCTCCTGCGCCACTGGTAAGAGAAGCCCGACTCTGCGCCCTGGGTTTCCCATTTCCCAGCCCCAGTTCAGAGGGTGTCTGGGTTTGAGGAGGTCGCATTTTAAGTTCTGAGCAGAAGGGGACTCGTTTACTTCCTTAGGTGCTTTCTTTCTGATCACGCCCCTGAGAGCACTGCCCTCCCCGCTGGGCCTCTAAGTCAGAGTTAAGGATACTGAGGCTCAAGGCAGTCCTGCTTCACATCACCCAGCTGGTCAGGGTCCTGCTGGCTGGGCACCAATGTTCTCCTCCAGGCTCTGAGCAATCAGGATGGATGGGGGGCTAGAGACATAGAGTCTTCAGAGTTCAGGACAGAAGGTTGTGGCTCGCAATCTCAGTATTCCTGGGTTGGGTGTGCAGCAGGGACCTTCCTGGTGGGGTGAAACAGGAGGGTGTTTGCGTTTCCCAGTGTGAGTGGGGAGGACATGGGGCCTCTATTCCTCTGTCCTGAGTGAGAAAGTAGCTCTGGCCCTGCACAGAGGAGAGGGCACTGGAGACTCATTGACCCACTGCTGTACCTTCTGCATCTCACTCACTGCTCACTGCGTTTTTCTCTTCCCTGCAGATGTCTCCTGCGCCTGCGCCGGCTCCTGCAAATGCAAAGAGTGCAAATGCACCTCCTGCAAGAAGAGTGAGTGAGGGGCCATCTCCAGGAATCTGGGGCTGTGGCTAAGGTTGGGAGGGAACCCAAAGCTGACACTGAGTGCCCGATTCTGGGTAACTGGGCTTCCTTTGCCCCTGTTGGCCATGTCGTTCCCTCTCCATGCTTTCTGCCCTGAGTTCAGATGGGGCAGGGAAACCTTTTTCTCTTGGGACACAAACCCCAACTGTACCATCTGTGGTTTCAGAACAGAGCTGTGCCACACAAAAAAAGCATCCTCTGGGTCTGGCGTCTGAGCTCGAGCCAGGCTTGCTATTGGGGCAGGGAGGTGCCTGGTCCAGTCTACTGCCGCCTCTCACTCTCCCCTTCTTCCCCAGGCTGCTGCTCCTGCTGCCCCGTGGGCTGTGCCAAGTGTGCCCAGGGCTGCGTCTGCAAAGAGGCGTCGGAGAAGTGCAGCTGCTGTGCCTGATGTGGGAAGAGCTCTGCTCCCAGATGTAAATAGAGCAAACTTCACAGCCTGGGTTTTTTTTTTTTAATACAACCCTAAGCCATTTTCTGCATTTCTTTTTATATTAAATATGTGAATGGCAATAAAACAATTTTGACTTGAATCTTAATCTGGTCTTCTTTGTGTGTCTTACAGAAAATGGACTTGGGTGGGGGGTTAAACCACGAGTTTAGATACCAGGCTCTGGATGGAAATATGAGCCACTAATAATGTGAAAACTTTCAGGCCAGCCAGGCTACCTCACTGAGTTTACACTTCTGTAAAATGGGATTGCACTGTGGGGGCCATACATGATCGCTTTGTCTCATTCCCAGTGTGGCACAGAAACTTCACCCCTTATTTTTATTTTCTGATTTTCCTCCACAACTTGAGATCCACTTGGATTTTGGGCTTCAAAGTGGCTATAGTGCTGGAACCCAAGTTCCTAGTTTCTTGAATCCTACATGAGGGCTATGATTTAGATATTTTGTCACTGCCAAATCTCATGTTGAAATGTGTCCTCCAATATTGCAGGTGGGGCCTAGTGGGAGGTTTTAGGGTTGAGGACAGATCTCTAAAGAATGGCTTGGTGCCATCCCATAGTGAAGGGTGAGTTCTTCCTCTGGTGGGTCACTGCACAGCTGGCTGTGAATGAATGAAAGTGATTAGAAAGGGACAGGTATAGACTCAATGTTATGCCTTAGGTATACTGAAGAGAAATAACTGGATGTCTTGCTTTTTAATTTTATTTTTTTAGAGACGTTGACTCCCTGTGTTGTCCAGGCAGGACTCCTACTCCTGGGCTCAGGTGATCCTTCCGCCTCAGCCTCCTAAGTAGCCTGGACTACAGCTTCCTGCTACCTCCCCCATCTTGCTTTTAAATTTAAAGCAGGGTCAGCACATCACATGAAATCGTCTCATTTTGGGGGTTTCCCACATGTCCAGAACTGCCAACCGGTAGTGGGGAGCCTGGCTAGGCTGTGGGGAGCATGGAGGTTTATTTGCAAAGGAGGTCCTGGATAAATGTGCCCCCACATCCTCTCAGGAGAGGAGAATGGAAGCGAGAGAGAGGCCGACCCGTGTTCCCCGTGTTAATGTGTACGGAGGAGCAGGTCCGAGGGACCTAGGTGTGGACAGGGACAGGCAAGGCGCGGGCGAGGAGAAACAAAAATCACCTTGGTGGCGGGAGCTCTGCACACGACTAGCTCGCTACCGCCCGGTCCCCACTCCGCACTCCGCCGATCCGGGAGCGGGAGCGGGAGGCTGTGGCTGCACACAGACTTCTGGACATGCCGAGCTCAAAACGGTGCGAGGGGTGGGGGGGAGACTAACGAGACGCCAAGCTGGGTTCCCGGAACGCGCGGGGACTAGGGTGGAAGGCAACTTTGGGGAAACTGGGAAAAGCGGCTGGTACCTCGGGGAGACCGCGTACCCCGGGCGCAAAGCCCGTTAGCGGTGCGCCAAAGCGGGGAGCGGGGGTGGTCCCGCGGTCGGCACCCAGCGCTACTCAGGGAACTGTGCGCCTGACCCTTCTACTGCGCACAGCCCAGCCCAGGACCTCGGGCGGGGCGGACTCATCGGGGCGGGTGCAAGCGCGGGGCGGGGCCTTTGCTCCCGGCCCTCTTCCCCTGACTATTAAAGCAGCCCCTGGCTGTGGGGCTCCACCACGCCTTCCACGTGTGCCTTATAGGCTCTCAACTTCTTGCTTGGGATCTCCAACCTCTCCACGGCTCGAAATGGACCCCAACTGCTCCTGCACCACTGGTAAGGGATCCTGGGTTTCTGGTCCTTAGGGTACCTATTTCCCCGCCACAGGATCGATGCCCCTAGGAGTAGAGGTGTTTTTTGAGTTCTAGCTAAGTGGAGCCATTTATTTCATTGATCTAGTGCTTTTCCTCTCCGTGCCTTCATCACCCCTAGAACATTCCTATTCTAATACCTCCCATTTCAGAGGCGAGAGAACTCAGGCTCATAATTCTCCTGCTCCGTGTCACCCAGGTAGTCGGGGGCTGCTAGGCTGAGCCCCAATACACTGTGCCGTTCCTGGGGTGGATAGGAGACAGGGGTTGTTGTCTTTTCAGGATTAAGGACATAAAGCCCATCCTAGCCTCTAGAGATAGAAGTAAGGTCAGGCTTCATGGTGCCCTGAGTCCAACAGGAGCTATCTATCTATCAGGCCTGGCAATGCACTCAGCTGGGAATATTTGTTGACCAACTGCTGCTGTCTTTATCAAATTCACTGCCTTTTTCTCTTCCTTGCAGGTGGCTCCTGCACCTGCACTGAGTCCTGCAAGTGCAAAGAGTGCAAATGCACATTCTGCAAGAAGAGTGAGTGCGGGGCCATGTCCAGGAATCTGGGGCTGAGCCAAGTCAGAGGCAGGAACCCAGAGCTCAGCAGGCAGGAGTAGGCCAGTGGTCAATTTCCCATCTCCCCTTCCCCAACAACTGATTCCGGATCAGAGCCAGATCTTTAGACATGATTGATTCCCAAATTTCATTCTTAAAATAGACAAACTAAGGCCAAGAGAGTGCACCAGCCTGCCAAGCACAGACATGACACCTATAGACTTTCCTCACCTAAGTGTATGGTTCTGGGGAGCCAGCCTTCCTTTGCCCTTGATAACCCCAGTCACTGCCTCTCCAGCCTTCTGCCGGGTCTGGGGCTCAGATGTGGATAAGAAGCTTTTCACAGAAGACCCTCACTCAAAAGGTCCGCCACTTATCGCCCATCTCCAACAGTGCATGCCATCCTGAACTAAGTGTCCTCTGGGGCTGGGGACAGAGCTTGAGCCAGGCCTGTTTGAGGGCAGGGAAGTCCCTGGTCAAGTCTGGTCTGACCTCTCGCTCTCCCTTCTTCCCCAGGCTGCTGCTCCTGCTGCCCCGTGAGCTGTGCCAAGTGTGCCCAGGGCTGCATCTGTAAAGGGGCATTAGAGAAGTGTAGCTGCTGCGACTGATGTCGGGAAGGCCCTGCTAGAAGATGTAGAAAAAGTGACCTGCACAAACATGGAATTTATTCCATACAACCCTGACCCATTTACTGTATTGTTTTTTTATGAAATATGTGAATGATAATAAAATTGTTGACTTAATGCTGGCTCTGTTTTCTTTGTGTGCCTTGGAAATATGGGACTCCATACCCAACAGAGCTGGGACAGTGGATTGCATTGAGGATCCAGAGACCTGGGTGCTGGCACCTTGTCCTATCACCTTACACACTGAGGGCCTTAAGGCAAATAGGCACCTGCCTCAGGTCAGTTTCTTAAATAGAAATGTAAGAGCATGGTGACAGGTGATATAACGCCACAGGAATCTGTCACAGACTTAAGCTTTGGTAAGATAAAATCTATTAGTATGACAAAAAGAAAAAAACACCAAATTCATTTTTTATATTGAATAGGAAAATTTCAATAAATATATGGAAGACAAAATAGGAAAAATAAAATTACACATTTGTTCTAGGGTGTATATTTCAGACTGGAAACAGTTCACAGACTGGCCCCAGTATGTGCGTCACACGCCTTCAACAGCACCAGCCAGGCCATCCCCACATGGAACCATCAGTCTTGGCCTCTCCAGGATCTCTGATGTGACTCTCAGTATCTCTGAGAGCTCCATGTTGTGACTTAGCTCTGAAACTTCAGAAGTTTCTCCCTAGGTCAGGCTGAAATCTGTTCCTCCTTCAATTCCAGCCCTTGGTTAATTCAGGCAAGCAAAGTAACTGGCGGAGTGTAGGAAATTACCCAGGATCCTCCCAGCAAGATGGAGTACAGAGAAGGATTAGTTCCGGATGAAGTCCTTTGAGTCTGTCTATGTGGAGGTGATGGCCTATTATGCAGTTTCTAAATTGTGGTGGTGGTCACTAGGAAGGAGTAGGGCCCCAGGTAACATGTAATTAATGGCAGCAATTAGTTCCTCTGGCCATTTGTTGCGGGAATTGCTATTTGATGTTCAAAGAAGAAAAGGTGTCAAGCGGCCCAGGAATCAGGACCATGCTGGCCTGCAGGTGTCCCTTTTGAAGAAAGCGCTCCAGAAGGTAGCCTGTGCAAAGAGCATGGGGATCAGGGTCAGGGCAGTCTTGTTGAACCGCCCACTTCACCACCTCTGTCCTGGGCTGTGAGACCTAGGCAGGTTGCTCAACCTCTCTGAGTCCCACTTCTTCCTTTGTAGAACTGTCTGTCACAATTCAGAGCTAGAAGGGCCCTTGGTCAGTGAGTGCAGCTGTGCCTCTGATGGGTGTGATGGCATGTTGAGGCTGAGAGGTCACAGAGCTATGCAGAGGGATACACTGCTAGCTCAGTGCCCTTCCCACTGCCGTCTCTGTGCCAGACTTTCAGTGTCCTTGGGTTTTACATGACACGGTGACATAGGATGGTTGTTGAGGGCACCATGATGCAGTCAGCATGCATGAATGCAAATCCCAGCTGTATCGTTTATATGACAGTGACACCACCTCTCTGTGGCTCAGTCTCCTCAACTGTGAATTCACATAATGATAGAGTCTGCTGGTGGGAGCAAATCACTTAAAACATGTAAAGAACTTAAAATGGTGCCTGGCTTGTGTTGAGTAGTCTGTAATAGCTTTGATTTTAATCTTTATTCATAGCATAGGGATACTTTTCTACTTCTAAACAAAAGCCAGGCCTAGTGGGCTTAGTTGTGTGTCCCATGTTGTTCTCATCAATAACAGGAGCGCATGACCTGTGGCCCAGAGAGAGTCCTCCACTAGTCCACAAATAAGGATCCATACTGGATACATAAAGCCATGAGCAAGACAGTCCCTGTCTGCATAACAGATGCAAAAGGATTCCTGCCATTTCTGCTATAACCTGCGCTGTTATTTTCTTTAACATTTTCTCTTAGGTAATCATATTTCTTTAATATATTTATAGGAAAAGCAAACTCTTTGACACTACTGAGAAAAAGAGTCAGTCCCACTTGCAGATATGGAACGCAGCCATAAAGTTACGTATACCTCCCTCTGTCACTCTCAGAATTGACCTGGACATTTGTTTATGTTTGAAGATTTCAAGCAGTAAAGAGGTGCTGAAGACATACCCAGGCCAAAGGGAAGCTTTGCCCTTGACCTCTTTCCCTTGAAAAGCTGCCTGGATTGAGACCCACAGCACCACTGTTACCAGCGCAGGGCGTCCAGGTTCTCAGCACCTCGAACAAAGAATTTGACAAATGCACAAAGTAAGGAAGGAATGAAGCAACAAAAGCAGAGATTTATTGGAAACAAAAGTATACTGCACAGGGTGGGAGCTAGCCCCAGCAAGTGGCTCAAGGGCCTGGTTATAGAATTTTCTATGGTTTAAATATCCTCCAGAGGTTTCCCATTAGTTATTTAGTGTACTCCCTATGTACATGAAGTAGTGGCCCCCTATCTGACTGATGGCAGAAAGCAACCAATTAGAAGCTGAAGTGAAGTTACAAAGTTACTGCTATGCAAATGAAGAGGTAGTCCAAGGCAGTCCAATTGGTTGTCATAAGGGACAAATCAGAGGCACTTTCAATTTCTCATCTGCCATGCAGACAAAGGGGAGAGGGGTTGCAAACGAAGTAGCCTTTGGTCCTTTTGTTACTTGGGTGTAGAAAGCTGGGGTTTTCCTTTTGGTTTAGTTCTAGAAAAACTGTGAGTCAGTTTTAGGTTCACTGCCACCAGAGCCTATTCTCTTGCCTCAGCACTTCCACCCTCTGTCCTGGGCTGGTTACTTTTCTCCTTGTGTTGTCGTCGTCTGATTAGTAAGATGCCATTGTAAAGAGTATTCCCCTTGAGGGTTGCTGAGAGGGTTCAAGTAGCCAAAGTGACTAAACAGGGTCTGGCCGAGACCAAAAGCTCTGCAATAGTCAGGAATTCTGAAAGGGAAGTAAGCACTTTTCCTGCTTCTTAATTTAATGCAGGGTCACCACATCAGGGCAAAGAGCCCTCCCTTGTGACCTCCCAAGCTTTGGATGTCCTTAGTCTTGGTGGGCCAGCTAGGCTGCGGGAAGCCCAAAAGAAGTTAAAGCCAAAGAGGACTTAAATATGCCCATCGCCCCCTTAGGAATGGAGAATGGAAGGGAGGGAGGCTGGGCCCTGTGTCTGGCCTGTTGCTGTGAAGAGGACAAGTGAAGCCAAAGGACCTGGGTGACTATGCAGGTGGGTGGAAGGTCACATGGGAGGCTGGTCCTCTGCACACAACTCCCTCGCTGTGCTTCCCGTCTAGGTCCTATTTAGGGACAGGAGCACTAGGCTGGGGTAGCACATGGACTCCCACAGAGGCGAAGCTCAGGTCACTGATGCGGGCTGCTGGGGTGGAGATACCGCGACCACCTGAGGCTGGGTTCCCTGACCGCCCAGGGCAGGAATGGAGTGCAATCTCCGGGAAATTCGGGAGGACCGGGATTACAGCCGGACGCCGCGTACCACCAGGAGCACAGCCCCTCCAGAGTGAGCGTGAGCCAAAGGGCCGCCCCCGAAGTGTGCACCAGTCATGTTAAGGAGGATCCTGCGCCCGCCCGCCTGGTGCTCACAGTCCGGCCCTGAACCCTGGGCGGTGCTGACACTGCGCTGGGCAGTTGTGAGAGCTGGGGCCAGGCCTCTACACCCTGCGCCCTGAACTGACTGTAAAGTCAGGCGGCCTACTCCTGGGATCTGTTCCGGCTCCCACGGGCCCCCCTGTTTTTTCACCTCTGGCTTAGGAACTCCAGCCTCACCTGATCTCCAAATGGACCCCAGCTGCTCCTGCGCCAAGGATGCTTGGTTTCCGGTGTTAGGATCTTCATTTTCATACCACAGAATAGAGCACCCTTGGGGCAGGAGGCAGGTGCATTTTGAGCTCTTCCTAAAGTGGACTCCTTTGCTTTGCACTTCTCAAGCTTTCTCGCCGCCAAGCGCCTTCATCACCACTTAGGACATTGCGGTCTTCCCAGTGCCTCCCATTTCTGAGGAGAGAGGACTGAGGCTGAAAACTGCCCGGCTGCAGGTCACCCTGAAGGCCAAAGATGTGCTGAACTAGGACCCAGTGCTCTGTCCAGCATTGAGCTGCCTGAGGTGGATGGGAGGCACACAACACTCGCTGCTCACTGCCTTTTTCTTCCTTGCAGGTGACTCCTGCACCTGTGCCAGCTCCTGCAAATGCAAAGAGTACAAATGCACCTCCTGCAAGAAGAGTGATTGTGGGGCCTTCCTTGGGAATCTGGCATCTGGGCAGAGTCAGAGGAAGGATCCCAGATCTCCACAGGCAGGAGCAGACCAATGACGAACTTCCCACATCCTCTTGCTTCAGCAAATGACTTAGGATCACAGCCGGAAGAATACCAGAGATGGTTAATCCCCAATCTTTATTCTTACCATGGGGACACCAAGAGAGCACACCAGCCGGCCACGCCCAGGCCTGATACTTGAGGACTTTCCTCACTTAGGAGACTGTCCCTCCTTTTACTGCAAAGCGCATGTCACTCCCTCTTGAGTTCTCTACCCTGTCCTGGGCACAGGAAGGGTGGGTAGCTTTTTCATGGCAAGACCCTCACCCCAAAGATCCAGGAGTTATCTCCTGACAGAGCAATGCCATCCTGAACTAAGCATCTTTTGGGGCTGGAGGCACAGCTTCAGACTGGCCTCTGTTGGGGCAGGGAGATCCCTGGTCAAGCCTGCTCTGATCTCTCACTCTCCCCTTCTTCCCCAGACTGCTGCTCCTGCTGCCACGTGGGCTGTGCCAAACGTGCCCAGGGCTGTGTCTGCAAAGGGGCATCGGAGAAGTGCAGCTGCTGCGCCTGATGTTGGGACAGCCCTGTGCCCAGATGTAAATAACACAACCCCTGCAAACCTAGTTTGTTTTTTAAATACAAACCTAACCCATTTACTATGTCTGTTTTCTTAAGTGAAATATGGGAATGATAATAAACATTGTTGGCCTTATTCTGCCTCTGAATTTTTTGAGGGGTGTCCTGAAATAAGAGACCTCAGACCCAGCAGAACTGGGATCATCCTATAAGTCGAGGGCCTTAAGACAACTCGGGTCACCTGTCTCAGGTCAGTTTCCTAGCTAAAAATGTAAGAGCATCGGCCGGGCGCGGTGGCTCAAGCCTGTAATCCCAGCACTTTGGGAGGCCGAGACGGAGGGATCACGAGGTCAGGAGATCGAGACCATCCTGGCTAACACAGTGAAACCCCGTCTCTACTAAAAAATACAAAAAACTAGCCGGGCGCGGTGGCGGGCGCCTGTAGTCCCAACTACTCGGGAGGCTGAGGCAGGAGAATGGCGTGAACCCGGGAGGCGGAGCTTGCAGTGAGCTGAGATCCGGCCACTGCACTCCAGCCTGGGCGGCAGAGCGAGACTCCGCCTCAAAAAAAAAAAAAAAAAAAAAATGTAAGAGCATCATGCCAGATGATATGAGGGCACAGGAATCAGTCATAGACCTACGCTTTGGTGAGATAAAATAGAATGAATAAGTATGAAAAATAAAAAGAGAAAGTTCATTTTTTATGTTCAACAAGGAAATCTCAAAACAGACAGCAAGAACAAAATAACAGGAAAAATAAAATACTAACGCTTCACATCTTTTGTAAGGTACAGTGATATTCAGTAGGAAGGAGGAAGGCCCTAGGTGTTTTGTACTTCATGGCAACTGTTAGTTATTTGGCTATTTGGTGAGGGAATTGCTATTTGTCATTTAAAGTGGAAGAGGAGTCACCTGGCCCAAGAGTAAGCACCATGCTGGCCTAAAGGTGCTTTGTGAAGAGGGGATTTCAGAAGGTAGTCTGGCCAGGTACAGTGGCTCACACCACTTCGATGGCTCACATCATGCTCTGCTCAAGCCAAGGCAGGAGGATTGCCTGAGGCCAGAAGTTTCAGACCAGCCTGGCTAACATAGTAAGAACTTCTCTCTATGTAAAACAAAAAATTAAAATAAAACAAGAAGAGAAAGCAGCCTGGGCAAAGTACAGGCGTTTTGGTGTCACACAAGCAGGTTCACAGCCCACTTCATCCCTTACTGGCTATGTGACCTGGGCAAGGTGCTTAACCCCTCTGAGGCTTCATTTACTCATTTGTAGAAAGAAGATTATATCTCTACATTGGGATGAAATGTGATAGTTGCCTCGGACCTGGCTAGGACTCAATGAAGAATGCTGATATAATCATTTGTCCACATGGACTTCCCAGACAGAGAATCCTGTTAGATCCCATCAAGCTCCTTGGGAAAGGTCCAGTTCCTTGGAAGCATGACTGTGGACTGGAAGTTGGGAATGGGTTTGGAGTCTTGCTGATCTGGTCTTAAGGATATGTGGATGACCTCCTGTACCAATTCTCCAGCATAAGACACTGCTCCAGCATTTGGAAAGAGAACAAGCCTTTCCCACGCTTCAAGTCATTTGATCTTCATACAAACCAGAGAGACAGTGTGTGCAGAGGCTCCCCATGCAGGGGACACTGTCCTCCAGAGTACTTAAGAACCTGCCCAAGGTCACATGACCCAGCACTACAGGTATAGAGGAACTTAGGGTACAGCTGTCCTCACGCCCTCTCCAGAGCTGGCAGATCATCATGTAAGTGGATGCTGAGCTCTGCCTGTCACAGTTCTTAGCTGGAAGGACCTTTGGTTAGTTGACTCAATTGTGCCCTGACTGGATAGATGGCACACTGAAGCTCAGGGAGGTTAAGAGCTATGAAGAGAGATTGACTACCAACTCATTACTCTTCTCTCTGCTGTCCCTGTGCCAGGTTTTTCATGTCCTTGTGTTTTACATGACATAGTGACATAGGGTGGCGGTTGAAGGAATGACATTGCATGAGTGTAAATTTCAGGTGTGTCATTTATACCTGGGTGACACAACCTCTCTGTGGTTCAGGCTCCTACCCTGTTCCTGTGCATAATAACAGGGTCTGGCTGGTAGGAACAAATCAGTTAATTCATATAGAGAACTTAATATAGCCTTTAGCAAGTAGTCTGTAATAGCTATGATTTTATTACCTTTATTCATAGCACAGGAACATTTTATATTTCCAGACAAATAAGCCAGTCCTGGTGGGCTTAGCTGTATGTCCCATGTTGTTCCCATCAATAACATGAGCATATGACCTGTGGACAAGAGAGGGACCCCTCCCCATCCACAAATTGGAATCCACGCTGCATATGTAAAGCCATGAGCAAGACAGTCCCTGTCTGCATAACAGATGCAAAAGGATTCTTGTCATTTCTGCCAACACCTGTGCTGTTATTTTCTGTAACATTTTCTTTTAAACTATCATATTTCCTTAATGCATTTATAGAAAAAGCAAACTCTTTGACACTACTGAAAATAAGAATCGGCCGGGCGCGGTGGCTCAAGCCTGTAATCCCAGCACTTTGGGAGGCCGAGACGGGCGGATCATGAGGTCAGGAGATCGAGACCATCCTGGCTAACACAGTGAAACCCCGTCTCTACTAAAAAATACAAAAAACTAGCCGGGCGAAGTGGCGGGCGCCTGTAGTCCCAGCTACTCGGGAGGCTGAGGCAGGAGAATGGCGTGAACCCGAGAGGAGGAGCTTGCAGTGAGCTGAGATCCGGCCACTGCACTCCAGCCTGGGTGACAGAGCAAGACTCCGTCTCAAAAAAAAAAAAAAAAAAAGAAAAAAAAAAGAAAATAAGAATCAGTCTCACCTTGCAGACATGGAAGGTAGCCACACAATTATACGTATCCCTCTGTATCACTTCTGTTGCCCTCTGGATTGATCTTGACATTTGTTTTTGTTTAAAGATTTCAAGCAATAAAGAGGTGCTGAAGACATACCCAGGCCAAAGAGAAGTTGCATTATTGATGTCTTTGCCTTGAAAAGCTGAGTGGATTGAGACCCGCGGCAACACTTCCACCCTCTGTCCTGGGCTAATTATTTATCTCCTTGTGTTGCCGTCCAGTTAGTAACACGCTGTTATAAAGAGTATTCCCCTTGAGGGTTGCTGTGAGGGTTCAAATAGCCAAAGTGACTAAACAGGGTCTGGCTGAGACTAAAAGCTCTGTAACAGTTAAGAATTCTGAGAGTAGGCTGGGCGCGGTGGCTCACGCCTGTAATCCCAGCACTTTGGGAGGCTGAGGCGGGCGGATCACAAGGTCAGGAGATCGAGACCACGGTGAAACCCCGTCTCTACTAAAAATACAAAAAATTAGCCGGGCGCGGTTGTGGGCGCCTGTAGTCCCAGCTACTCGGGAGGCTGAGGCAGGAGAATGGCGTGAACCCGGGAGGCGGAGCTTGCAGTGAGCCGAGATCGCGCCACTGCACTCCAGCCTGGGCGACAGAGCGAGACTCCGTCTCAAAAAAAAAAAAAAAAAAAAAAAAAAAAAGAATTCTGAGAGTAACAACCACTTTTCATGCTTCTTAATTTAATGCAAGGGTGAGCACATCAGGGAAAAGATCGCTCCCTTGGGAACATTCCAAGTTTTGGGAAGCTCCATCCTTGGGCTTGGTGGACCAGCGAGGCTGTGGGAAGCCCCAAGAAGTTAAAGCAAAAGAGGACTTGGACAAATGTGCCCATCACCTTCCCAGGAGTGGGCAATGGAAGGGAAGGAGGCAGAGCCTTGTGTCTGCTCTGTTGCTGTGAACAAGACGAACATGGCCAAAGGACTTGGCTGGCAATGCAGGTGAGACAAAGGTCACACGGGAGGCTGGTCCTCTGCACACAATTCCCTCGCTGCACTTTCCGCCTGGGTCCTATCTAGGGACATGAGCACTAGGCTGGGGTAGCACACAGGCTCCCACAGAGGCGAAGCTCAAGTCACTGGTGCGGGTTATGGGCTGGGGATACCGCGACCACCTGAGGCTGGGTTCCCGGACCGCTCAGGGGCAGGCGTGGACCCCAATCCCCGGGAAATTCCGGTGGGCCGGGATTATAGTAGGGACTCCGCCTACTGCCGGGAGCACAACCCTTGCAAAGCAAGCAGGAGTCAAAGGGCCGCCCCCAGGGTGCCCACGGGCTGCGCTAGGGAGGATCCGGCACCGGGCCGCATGCTGCGCACAGCCTGGCCGTGAACCCTAGGGCGCCTCTGACACTGCGGGAGCGGGGGCCAGACCTGGGGCGGGGCCTCTGCGCCCGGCACTCTTCCCTCACTGCAAAGCCAGTGGTGGCTCCTGAGCTCTGTTCCGCCTCCCACCGGCTTGCCTGCTTCTTCGCCTCTGGCTTAGGTACTCCAGCCTCACCTGGTCTCCAGATGGACCCCAACTGCTCCTGCACCACTGATAAAGGATGCTGGGTTTCAGGGCCTTAGGATCTCCATTTTCATGCCAAAGGATAGAATGTTCCTGTGGCAGGAGGCAGGTGCATTTTGAGCTCTACCTAAAGTGGATTATTTTACTTTGTACTTCTGGTGCTTTTTCTCTTACCAAGTACCTTTATTATTATCACTAAGAACATTACCATTGTCCCAGCGCCTCCCATTTCTAAGGTGAGAGGAATGAGGCTCAAAACTGCCCCTGCTCCAGGTCACCGATAGGCCAGAGGTGTGCTGAGCTGGGACCCAGTGCTCTGTCCAGCATTTGAGCTGACTGGGCTAGTAGGGAGGTGGGAGACATTGCTTCTTCAAGATTCCCCACTGAAGTCCCCATGTGGTACGAAAAAGAGGGCGCCTGCCCATCCGAGCCTGTGTGGAGAAAAGGTGGGGCTGGGCTTCCGTGTGCCTGAGCAGAACTAGGTACCAGGTTTCCTGTGCACTGAATAGGAGGATGCTGAGGGCCTGCTCCTAACCCTGCACCACACACACTACTCACTGCCTTTTTCTCTTCCCTGCAGCTGCGTCCTGCACC